AAATTAGAATTTAATATGATAATGAAAGACTTACAACTCCATTCTCTTTTGAATATAGAGGTTCAGTTTCAATCATCTAATAAAGATGTTTCTGTAGTGAACAAGTAGACGAGTGGGGGCAATTGAATGTATTTTAGCACAACATTACAGAATATCTCATTAAAGTATGAGAACCATATAGTGAACAGTTAATTTGTAAAATAACAATCCATTGTATCAATTTGACTGTTTCTTCTGCAAATATCCGTTCATAGTCTCCGATTATAACTGATCATGCATTTTCGTACCAATTGCATGTTGTTGCCGTTCTCTCCTTATCGATCTTCTACTGAAATACATCCAATGCCCGACCATCACCATATACTGCTCAAGTGGATATCAGTAATCCACACGACAGTCCCATCCTAACTTACTAAATTCCAAGTTATCTGAGTATTGACTGTTTTGAACAATTTCGAAATATTAACATTGTGTCTAGTGCTGAGTAAATGACAGGCAATCGCTCTGTTGAAAAGACGTTGATTTTTTGACTTCAGTTGTTGTGGAATGTGCTATTAGATGAGAACAATAGTCTTTCTTTTTGTTCATCTGATGTAAGTGCTATGTCACTAACATGTAAACTGGTAAATACAACTGGAGGCAAAATGAAGTAGGAGTTTATTCACTTTTGTTTGTCTCAATCATGAATTTGACTGATTTAGCAGTTAAATACGTCATTTTCAACGGAGCACTTAATGTAGGATCAATCTTATTAGCTATTTCGTCCACTTTATAGTCAAGTCGTAAAAATAATGGCTTTCATTTATTGACATATATTTTTTCTAATAAATTTAGACATTTGCAATGTGTTTGTATAGTGGGCGGGTTGTGAAAATTATAGGGTTTCCAAAGTTTAAATCCCGAACTGATCTTAACTAGATTACCATCGAAAACCAGGAAGCACTGAACATCTACCTCGTTGTGATATGAGATTATTAAGAACAGTACATTCATGAACTCCACCACAAGGGATCGATCGCGACCCAAACTATGAAAATCAATTAATTTATATTTGAGAGTAGTCGGGGCTAAAAAAAAGGAAGTTGTCGTAACCTGGTTAGATCCATCGCTGTTACCGAAAACATCAATATTATGATCATTTTTCCGCACACTTTGATATTCTTCAAACGGAAGGAATCATCGCGTTTTATTGAGTCGGGAAATTACCTATGTTGGAAAATATTAAGGTAACAAAAATATGGAACATTGGTCCCGAATATTTACTTAGTTGATTTGAATATTATTCGAGAAATTTTATGAGAAAATCACTACGTTGTATTTATACATAGTTAGGCATTTAGAAGTTGTTGGCAGGAGCTTCTGGACCTAGGTATCGTACCAATTGGTACTAGTTAACAAGGTATATATGCAATCCCAAGGGAATTAGTGCACCCTGTATGATTTGGACTTGCGTCACCCAATTGTATAATTTGACACGTTACCAATAAGCTATTGTAACCGCGACTAACCCTGGAGCTGATGTTAGTTTGAGGTGGCTACACTATCTTGTGTCATGTTATCCAACGTAATCAATCACTAAGTACAGGTGTTGTATGAGCTTCAACCTGGAAGTCTACATTGATATAACCTAGATCAGGAGTCAATGAATTCATGGATTAATATCATATCTTGATCTGCTCGCTCTTGGTTTTTTTCATTCTTTATTCCATATCAGACGATGGTTATATATGCATAATACATTTCTTGGCTACATCATGTGAGGTCACAGTCTGTGTTATAACGGAACGAATATCCTAACCTGTTATAATTGTGTTTCTGCTAATAAATGTCCCAGCTATTCCTATTGCTTATTCTTATACAATGACACTCAACCAGACACCAAAATCAGAACACGTTGAACAGGAATGAAATTGTATTCAAAAAAATAATGATAAGTGAACAGCAATCACTAGTTTAAATAATGTTCATATATTTATAGTATATACATAAAAAGCTTCTAGATTTTTCTCCAATAATATGCCCGGGCCGATCGGTTTAGAATTAGCCAATCAGCGCGCAGCGACACCATCATGCATGAAACATCCAATCTGTCCCACTAACATAACCCATATTAATGGAGATGACTTACGTCCTACTGTGCGGACCGCGAAACTACTTACTTACGCCTGTTAACCCTCGTGGACGAACATAGGTTGCCCGCCTGCATTCTCCATCCAACTCCGTTCAGTTGCTATTCATTATCTTTAATATCTTTTTATTCCCGGTGCAATGTGTTCCTCGGTCTGTTTCTTTTCCTTTTCCCTTCAAGATTCCAAGTTAGCGCTTGCCTCGTGATGCAGCTTGGTGATTGTAGGAATGCAGGGCCTGCTTTTCCAATCCTCGCATTTACGTTTGTATCGGATCCTCCTTGTTTGTCGATGATGCTACACAGATAAGTGGAATTTCCCGCCTCTTGTAGAGCTTCTCCATCAGGTGTGATTGGGTTGGTGTTCCCCGTGTTGTATTTGAGGATCTTACTTTTTCTCACGTGTATGTTGAGGCTGACTAACGCAGAAGCTGGTGCTACACTAGTTTTTTTACCTCCATTTGTTGATGTATATAAGGTAGGAGAGCCAGGTCATCTGCAAGGTCCAAATCGTCTAGTCGCATCTAACATGTTCACTGTATTTCGTGCATCCTATCAGATATCGATGCCTTCATAATCCAGTCAACCACCAGAAGAAAGAGAAGAGGAGAGAGTGGCCAGCCTTGTCTGACACCCGTCCTCACTTTAAGTGATCCTGTCAGCTATTCTCCATAAACCACTTTGCAGTGTAGTTCACCGTATGAATACTCGATGATGTTGACGATCTCCTCAGGTACACCATAGTGTCGAGGAAGGTCCTTCTATCCACACTGTCAAACGCCACTTCATAGTCAATGAATTTGATATATAGTGATGAATTCCATTCAGTTGATTGTTCACAGATGATCCGTAGCGCCGCGATCTGTTCAGTAGATGACCGATCCTTACGGAATTCGACCTGTTAATCTCGAAGTTAAGCGTCTATTGAATCTTTCACGATGTTCAATAACACTCTGTTGAGAACTTTTCATGCTACCGATAGTAGTATGATACCTCTGTAGTTCCCAGATCTCCTTTCTTTGATATCTTGATGAGGCGTCCTTCTCTCCAGTCTGTCAGTGGTACTTGTTCTCTCTCCCAAATCTTCTCGAACTGAACGTGAAGCATGCTTGCAGTTACTTCTATGTCTGACCTCAGAGCTTCAGCTGGTATGTTGTCAGGTCGTGCTGCTTTCCTACTCTTCATTAGACTGATGGCCATCATGATTTTTTCGATCATTGGTGGAGTGACATTCATAGGAAAGTCTGTGTGTGCTGATTCGATGTCCGATTGATTCAATTGAACTGGTCAATTCAAAAGTTCCTCAAACTGCGCCATCCATCTGCTCCAGTGCTTGAGTTTGCGTGATTTCCTTCCCTTATTAGTCCTTGACCGATCTCTCTGGTTTACCATATTTCCCCGATAGTTTATTCGCTTTGTCATATAGTAATCCTATATTTCCTTTCCTTGCAGCTTTTTCCACTGTCATCGCTAGGTCTTCCATGAATTTCTGCTTGTCGGTTGTAATGCCCTTTTCACTCGCTTGTTTGCTTCAGTGTATCCGACTTATGCCTTGACTTTCTCTGTTCTTCTTTGACCGTTGTTAATTGCCATCTTTTTGTTCTTCCTTTCATGAATCTTGTATAGGGTCCTCGTAGAGATCCATTCCTCATGATGATGCTCATTGCGGCCCAGAATCTCCTGACACGTTGAAGTTTGTGTTTTTCCGATCTCTTTCCAGTTATCCTCCATAGTAGCTTGCAAGGCTTGGAACCAGTTGTTGAGAGTTATGTTGAATTAATTGAGTTTTTTAGTGTCTCGAAGGAAGGCTGTATCGAACCTGCTGTTTCACCAGTTGTCCAGTGTATCTTTAGCTTCAGTTTCATATCGGCAACCAAAAGGTGGGGGTGATCTGAAGCTATGTCAGCTCCTCTCATGTTTCCCACGTCTTCCATTGACCATCTGAATTTTTTAGTGATACAGAAATGACCGATCTGGTTCTCCATAATGTAACCCAGTGAGACGCACTTAGCTTTGTGGATGTGTTTGTTTGGGAATTGTGTCACCTATAAACATTTTAATGAAGGCACGTAAATTTGTAAATCTCTTCATTCTCAATTTTTACTAGCAATTCATGCCGCCTTATGATAACTTTACACCCAGTGTTGAACCATCCCGACTTGGGCGGCTAGGTCTCCCATCACTGGGCACTTCGCTATGATTGATTCCAGCCTCAAGTAGAGCTTATCTTTATCGTCGCAGTTGCTATCATTCGTAGGTGCATAACATTGGATAACATTCATTGTGATACCCTGCTTCTATGTTTTCAATGATGCTTTGATGATTCTGGATCCATGAGATTTCCATCCTACAAGTGCATTTCGTGCATCTCTGAACAGCATCAGTGCAACTCCTTGAGTGTGTGGAGCATCTTCCTCTTTGTGACCGGAGTACAGCAGCATCTCTCCCGTATCTAGCCTTTGCTGTTCAGCTTGGTTCCAATGGGTTTCACTTATTCTAAGCACCACCAAGTTGTATCTCCTCATTTCCGTAGCTGTTTGATCGGTGCTTCCGGTCTTCCACATTGTTCGAATATTCCATGTACCTATATTAATTGTTGCTCTGGTTGTTAGAAAGGACATCGATCTCGTAACTTACGAAGAATATTGGCTTTCGCCTGAATGAAGATCCTTCAAATTCCATGTCAGAGTTCAAATGGTTTAAATTATTTATTCTGGTTAGCTTTTTTTAAGCAAGGTTTTTGCTGTGGGATGGGGTTGATGACCCCATGCCTAACAGTCTTTCTTCACCCAGGCTTGCGACTGGTAGTAAACATAGAAGAGTTACAGACAGAGTTGCCCTACAACTAGCGTTACAATATACAAAAGTATAATCTAAAATGTGTTTGATTTATTATGATATGCAAACAGTGTATGCGATTGATTGGCGATTAAAACAACAAAAGTATCATCACCTTTAACAAAATGAAGATATAACAAAAAGTGGAACAATGTTACTTGAATAGTGTATTTAGAAAGAATAATATGATAAAAAAAATGAAATTTGACCTAAGAAAATGTTCAGTTCAAAAAAACTGGTGCTGTAACACAATTATTGATATAATCATGAACAATTTAAGAATGGAAGCAGTAATCTTATCATAATGAAACAAACAAAATGCACTACTTCGTTTGTTCGTTTCGATTTAAATGGGAAAACAACATATAGGTGGAAATAACAACTGATGAGTGATTTACAAGTGAATTTTTCTCATTATCATCACACAAAATAATGTAGTTGATTTAATTCTTGAAAGAACAGTATATGAAGACTTGTTTGAGTGTGCACTACATTTGAGACCCATCGGCAGCAGTAGCGATATTTTCTGGTCCAAGTAGAGAATTATTTCCAGACCATGGAGTTTCTTTCCATATGAACCATAAACCAGCTACCCATAGAGCAACATTAGTAAACCCAAATATCTAATTTATATAAATTAACAAAAACATACCGAATTGTTAAAGTCACAAAGTAGATCTTCATTGTCTGGTATAATTTTGATACAAAGATTAAGATTTGTGTGAATCAGGGAAATTAAGTCTTATAAAACGATTTGTTTAGAAGTCCAAAGTCCGAGATACATAAAGAACTCATAAATGAAAACCTACTCGTAAAGATGAATCATTCCGTTTGCCCAACATGAGTGTTAAGGATTTTATCCAAGAACTAATTTATTATGTACCATTTTGAGACAATTTTGCTTCCAGATTTGAAGGCACTATAATGGCCTCAAGCGATTCGAGGAAAAAGGAATGACTGTGCGGGCAAAGTATGACATAGTTTTAAAACATAAAATCTAAGGGAAGAGAAAGAGTTAATGCATCCGTACTACTGTAACCAATTTTAAGCTATGTCACCTGTCTCTAACCATTGGTTAAGATAATCGCACGGATCCCGATCAGGGAGTCTGCACCTATTTACATGGCCCAGTTCAATAGTCATTGTCTTCACTGACTGATGCCATGTCTTGATTTGGCCGCCCCTTGCTTTCTTCCAACCTACTTTTACATCGGCCATCATTGGCGGTCGAGATAGTAGATAGATGGACGCACGTAATATATATATATATATATATCCCAATTATTTCAGTCGATAAAAATTCACTGCCCTGTCAGTCAATTTGCTATCCTTACCTAGTACTCTCTGTCTAACCAGAGAATTGCTAACTCGATCGCCCAAAAATATAGGGGCAATAGTTTAGAAACACCTGTGAGAAGTATAGTGACATATAGATTTAATAATAATGAGATTATATCTCTCTGTGCGACGTTGTACAAGTAGTTGCATTCATATTTAATGCATATTGTTTATTCTTACCAATTTTGGATAGACTTCACTAGTAATTAGTTGATGGTAATATACAGTTGTGGATTTTGTTGAGTTTTAATTGAGATCATGAACCAATCATTGTTAGACCACCAAGATTGTTGTTGGTGACCTAACATTGATCGACTTATGATCTCTATTAAAATTAATTGATGCCTACACCACTTTCGGCATTCAAACAAATACTAACTACATCGTTATCTTCCCAGCTTTATTGGTCACGGCTTTTGATTGAAGAGTATAATAGTATTGTACTGCCCTTTTGTACCACTCTTCACTAGATAAGACTGTCGGTCTGGATTACTTCCTGATCACGCTATTGGATTTATATTTCTCTCCACTCTGTCGGTAAAAACTGTGTAGGATGACATTCATTAACTGAGTGGACTTCATTTGTGAGTAAACCAAAAAGGAACTTCGAGTAGCATTCATTACATAATGGTTATTGTTTGTCAGTCAATACACATGACCTTGTTATTTTTACTGTCTTCTTATTTGTATATTATCATTTCGGGTTTTCGCATTGACATTTGTTTTGCACATTACTGAACTACCACAGCCATAATCAAAAAGGAAAAGTCATTCTAAACAATTGTCTACGCAAGATACTCAATGCCCGTTGACCGGATACCATCAGCGGCAACCTACTGTGGGAGAGAACAAACTAGCTTCCAACTGAAGAGGTAATCAGGAGACATTGGAGGTGGATAGGACACACACTGAGGAAATCACCAAGCTGCATCACGAGGCAAGCGCTAACTTGGAATCTTGAAGGGAAAAGGAAAAGAAACAGACCGAGGAACACATTGCACCGGGAATAAGAAGACATTAAAGATAATGAATAGCAACTGGACGGAGTTGGATGGAGAATGCAGGTGGGCAACCTATGTTCGTCCACAAAGGTTGACAGGCGTAAGTAAGTAAAAAGGTATCGTTTTGTACTCTTTGAGTTTTGTCATATAATAAGTTCTTGTGCAGGTTTACTACAGAAGTACAAATTGAGTTCAAAGAGTACAGATGGACAGCTTTTCATCAGAAACATGTCTAGTCCAAGGAGACAGCGAAGAATACCGATTTACTCAGATTTCATCAAAGGAAAAATTAGAATGCAGAAGGAACAAGACCGCACGGTTTTGAAAGTATCTTTTCAATAGTATTGTTCTTCATAACCAGCATCTAAATTTTTTTAACATTCCCACTTTTATGTCATTCAGATGACAATTTCCAGATGTAAAAAACTAGTTTGAATGGAGGGAATATTTATTACTCATTCTGAACAGCTAAAAACTACTACACTAACAATCGTCTGAACTACCAATTAACATACTATGGTTTGAAGCTTTTAGTTCAGTATTAGAAAAGATTCATAATTCGGAATAGCAATAACTGATTAATGTTCTCTGGATCTTATGATTTAGTCGCCAACATACTAATCTATGGTTAAGTGTTTTCCCTAACCCCAACTCTTCAAAAAAAGTTTATTACGACATTGAGAAGTGCTAAAGAGAATGATGGAATCAATCTAAACGACCATTAAACAACTCACTTTTGGTTTTCTTGTGACTTCATTGAGGGTACTTTAAAGTTGAGCTAAATTACGAAACTTGAGTGAAATAAATCAGAAAACCTTCCAAGTACATACGCAGAGAAGAAGACCAAAACATTTTTCAAAAGGGCTTTTTAACGCCAAATATAAAAGGTGGCCAAAGAATTGGTTTGTTTCAGCTTATAATTTGGTAATAAAAATTATGACTAAGCGGACCAGTTTCCAAAATGTTTCCCTGTTTGGATCTGAACAGGGGACTACTTTCTCATCTTTTGCAGTGAATTCCAACAACTGCTAAACGAAATCCACATCTAACGTAGTAAGGATTAATAACCTCAACAAGATAACCAGTACGCAAACGCATTCGATTAGACTGGGAGTACTAATATCAATACCAAGCTGATAAACAAAAATATTTCTGCACTGTTGTATAAACTCTGTTAAATATATAACCAAAAAAGGAAAGATCATTACCAGAGACGCGTTAAGTCCCCCATAAGTAGCTTGTTCCGTAGCTTCGCAATGCATATTAGGTTTCACCTCATTGCAGATCCGGCTTACTGACGTGTACATTTTAAACTGGTTTACATTATCGGCCCATGCACAAGAGGCGATAAACCATAACAGGACAATGATAATCGAGAAGATGAACTCCTATTATATATGTAAAGTGGTGTATAGAACTTACGTATTTACTAAAGCGCGAGTCAGAAAAGTAACGATCATGAAAATAGACATAATAGACGCCCATAGCAACGCAGAAAAGCATAGTTGAGACACCAACAAATACATAAAACTGTGCTGCTGAAGCGAAATTGCCATACATGTGTTTACTCTCCACAGCAGTGCATTGAGGAAGCACGATAGAGTCAATACTAAGAAGAAGTGAAAAACCTGAGGGATTACTTGAAGGGGTACGTAAATTTGGCACCCCAAGTTAAATTTAACCCGTTATCCTGACAGTCATACTTTAGCTTGACACTGGTCGAGAAGTCACACGTTGTTGCAAATGCACAAATTGCTACAAGCTATTACGATATAATGAGATATATGAATAACATACAACTTCAATGATTTTAATAAAACCTTTAGGCTCTTTGAAAACTTCCCATCCTGAAGACTAACATCATGATTATGAGTCACTGAAATTGCGTGTATTTACCGACGATTCTATCATCTCCCAAGTATTTGTTACTTCTTAAGATGAAAGTGTGGGCAGAGGGTAATTCAGAAGACTAAAGACTAAATCGTGCAACACAAAACTGGAACGCGCGCTGCAGTCCAATGCCCAATACCTTAGTAGTCCTCACTAATACAAAAAATAAGCCTTCTGGCCTAGATTTAAGTTTGCAGTAATTATTCTTCTGAATGCCATATTTAAAGAAGTACTTTTAAACGATACAATCATACCTAGCGACACCAAATCCTTAGTTTGTCATAAATGGGCTTTAGCTAATCGATACTTCGTCGATCAGTAATTTCATGGACAATAAAGCTCAATCAAACGCATACCGAACCACAGGCGTATTTCATTGGCGTGACGATATATGGCAGGTTTTATTTCAAAGATTCCCCCAACTAACTAGACGACTCGATGAGATCCCATCCGTGACCAATCGTGTGATACACCACATAGTCACCCGTCGACCACAAGTCACGGCAAAGCCTCGCCGACTGGCACCGAACAAATAAGCTAACGCCAAACGTGAGTTGGACAATTTAGCTACTGGTATTATCCGTCCTTCTCACAGTTCCTGGGCCTCATCTCTCCACATGGTACGCTAACGGATGCGGTTAGTTGGCGACCATGTGAAGACTATCGAGTATTAAACGTAGTTACACATTTTGATAGCAACCACATACCCCACATACATGACATCACAGCATCACTCAAGGGCACGACTATTTTTTCTAAGATCGATCTGGTACGAGGATATCACCAGATCCCAATAGCTCTTGAAGACATCGAGAAAACCGCTATAACGACTACTTTCGGTCTGTTTTAGTTCCTACGAATGCCATTTGGATTACGAAATGCTGCTCAAACTTTCTAAAAGTTTGAAACGATGGACATAATTGAATGTGAACGATTGGAATAACAAAAATTCATCAATGATAACTATATATATGTGCAAGGAAAGGTCACACGTTTGATCTTATCTGTCTTTTAACTCCACTTAATTATTACGCCACCCACCCTTTATGCTTCCTTCATTCTAATACCTAATAACCTCTGACTTTTTTTGCACATATATATATATAGTGATGATTTTTTGTTATTCCAATCCCTTACATTCAATTATATCCATTGTTCCATACTATTTATCACCCCAATGCTAAAACTCTAATGCATATTTCCAAAGGTTTATCGGTAGCATAGTACGAGGCCTATATTTTGTTCACCTCTTTATTGATGATCTGTTAATCACATCACCAAACGTAGATGAACATTATCAGAATAATAATCGACCCGGACATGTGTGAACTTGGTAAACCGGAAATGAAGTTCTTAGGTCACATTATGAAGCAAGAGGGTCTTTTACATTGTGGGGACAAAGTACGTGTAATAATGGAGTACATCGTACCGTCCACACTCAAAGAACTGAAGGCATTCTTCTGTTTGGTTAACTTCCACTGACGTATCATCCCGAAAGCGACAGGGCGGTTACGACCATTAACCGACATACTTCGCGGTAATTCAAACAAATTAGAATTGAACAACGCCACGCGAACCGCATTTTCAGAGATCGAAATGGCTCTGGTTCAAACCACACTTCCCAATCATTCTGACCCACCAGCAACGCTCAGTATAGCGGTTGATGGATCGGATTTCGCCATAGGAGCCGTTATGCAACAGAACATCTTTGGAAGTTGCCAACCTCTCGAATTTTTCTCACGACACCTCATTTTCTCGGGGACGAGATATAGCGCTTTTGGTCGAGAACGTTTCAAACATTTCCGGCACTCAGTAGAAGGTCGCAACTTCATCTTATTCACCGACCATAAGCCTTTAAAGTATGCTCTGTATATCAAGTCTGGCCGCTACTCACCACGACAGTGCAGACACTTGGACTATATCTCTCAGTTCACAACAGACCTTCGTCACGTTAAAGGCTAATCGAACTGTGTTGCCGATGCTCTGTCACGTATCCAAGTGAATGCAGTTACTTTGCCGGTTCTTGATCTCCCTGCTATGGCCGTCGCCCAAGCAAATGATCCTTCATGTACAGAAGCATAACATTCTACATCCCTTCAGTGCCAGGAAGTACCCCTAGCTACTAGCTCAGGTACTTTCCTATGTGATACTTCTACTGGTCTCCCTCAACCCAACGTACCCCTGCTTAACATCGTCCCTGAATTCGGTTGAGATTGCAGTCTCACATTCCGGTCGCCGAGTATGCCTGCCCGTACGCTTTCGTGACTAACCATTCAATCAACAGCGGATATGGTATAGGACTTAATCCCTATACTACACGCATGGTACACTTTTTTGTTCTTTCTCCTGAGCCCACGCCTCCGACCATCGCCCCGTTGGTACCGTCGACTTCAGTCGATCTTGGCGAAAACTGGCCCGTTCACCGACGTTCTTGTCAACGCACTCATTCGGTGTTTTCTGACTCTAAAAACGTATGGCATATCTTTGGTCCCGAGCGAGGGTCATTATGGTCGCTTCTGGTTACTTGGACCAATGTGGTTCCATCCTACGTTTGCAGCGTTTACTGGTTCGGACCCCCTACGGACGCCTACGAACTCAATATTCGGATCATGGATACATAACACTCTGGTGTGACACACTAATTCAAGCAATAAATCCAGCATGTTTCTCCTGGTACTGTTCTACGTTAAAGACCTTTGGTGGCAACTTGAGGATCAACGGTCGCTTCTTGTCCTGTCAACGCTTTCGTCCTACAGTCGCACGTTTGACGATCAGTCACACGAACGAAACAGCTACGTATCGAAGGTGTAAATCCTTTCTAGTGGGAGGCTCGAGTAGTGACCTTCTTTTGTGACGAGAATGCGATTGGTTTAATGGAAACAATTATTATTATTATAACTAATTATAGTAGTGATGGTTTTGTTGTACTTGTTTGTTTAAGTGTATGCTCGGTGGTTCCGCTCGTAAACTATAGCAAGTCTCGGTGTTCTTTCCATACTACGAGGTCACCAACAAATGTATCTTATTTCAACCGTCAACAGTCTTTAGGTTTTTGGCTTACCGAGGGATCCAACTAGACATCTGGGACGTAATCTTCATGTGGTGATGATCATAATCAATTGAGACTCGTGGCCATCTACAAGTCCATGACCTCGTTTCAGCTTAACAATTGTAAGGGCATGACAAAGGATTAAAATTGCCCCTTCCAACATTGTAGAATTACCCATGTTTGGGCCACGGCATGTGTTCTTGTTTAGATGCCGCAGCTGTTGATATACCAATCCGGTACATAGGTTTACTTCTGAGAATTTATTTGGGTTGCTGATGAAGCCTTTGTTTGTGTAGGTTGCAGTTGACGGTTTAAGTGTCTAAAAACACCGTTTTGCCAGGAGCTCTGAGGCATCGTCACCATTATTTGTTTGACAATTGGGACTAAAAACCGAGAAACCCAGGCTTCAGTTTGTCGAAGATAGGTTGTGTAGTGGTTGTCGAGTCGAGGACGGACTATGATCACCACTACTATTCGATTACTCGCCCAAAAACGACTTGGTTCTTTTGATAACTCGTAAATCAAAAGGCTTTATTAATCCAGATCAAGTATATTTATTGGCGATCTCGTGGTATCGATAGAATACCAAGACGTGCCAAAGGGTGCAGGCGAAATGGGCAGAGCGTAAGAAAGTTCGAACCAAACAAGGCGGATAGCGAAACAATAAGTGAGTCTGATACAGCTAAACAAATACAGTAAAACAATCTCTGGTACAATTGGTTACAATAATAATGATTGTTTCTGTTTTTCCAATCGTGTTCATATCGAGACTGGCCGGTCACTACAGTTGCATGAGAGAATAATCTTTGAATAAGAAAAAGAGAATTCAGCGAAGAAAATTTTTTCTTTTCGACGAAATCATTTACTTAAGCTGTACATTCGTATATATAGTAATATGGAAAATATATGTCTATAGGAGGCTAGAAAAGATTGCATTATAAATGGATTCGACAATAAATAACAAATGAGGTGACGTACTAATCAAGGGGTAAGGAAGAAAATAATTTATGGGTCAGATAATAGTTCAATTAACAGATATGAAGAAGAGCGACAAACACAAAGGTCATAATAATAATGATCTAAGTAATAATCAAGAAAACTTGTATAAGGTAATATTAACGGATTTCAAAAACGTTGAATAAAACTTTCTACACAGCCAAGCTCCGAATCGTTTTCTCTAGCCGGCCTACCATTCGGGGGGGGGTGTTAAGGATAAGCTTTCGCTTTGGGCCACATCGATGTGTATTTATAAATTTACTTGCTCATGTGGAGCACGTCATATAGGCCGCACAAAGCGATCGCTTTCCAAACGTATCTCTGATCACTATCCAGCTTGGCTCCTAAAAGGTGAATGTAAGAAGATAACCAGTTCGATACAAGAGCACTTGATCAATTGCGGACACATTGCTCCAAAAGAGACGTCTTTTAAAATAATCTATAGAGTTAAAGGAACCGGATCAAAGGGAGGTAGAATCAATATTTTATGCACTGCTGAGGCATTGACAATCCATGAATTCAAGCCTGAAATTTGCGTGCAGAAACGGTTTGTCCAACCTCTTACCCTTCCTTGGCCCAAATTCCCTCATTGGGTACGTTTTTTGTTTTTTTGTTTTTTGTACTTTTATCTGATTATTATCAGTTTTTTGTTTTTTAAATTACTACTTTACATTTAATCTCTAATCAGTTAATATTGTTATTATTATTATTACCTTATACAAGTTTTTTTGATTATTACTCAGCCCCCAAATGCCCTGGTACGGCCGAGAGTGGGGAGAGTCTACTCTCTCTCTCGAAATGCTCTCACATGGCCAGCGAATATATAGCCTCTGCCAGGGAAGTCCTACTCACTGCCTTCTCGTGGCGGGGGTGTTGTTTACGAAAGTGAGAGGACGAAAAGCGAATGTCCGGCGCTATAACCGGATTGGTGGACACGGAGGGTCCACCTAGGGGAGTTGGAAAACCCTGATTCCAAACCAATGGTGCACATGGGCTCCAGTATCCTGATGGAACGAATGGCGGAAGAACCTGCTGTTGGTCAACGGCAACCATGGGACTGCATCTCCTCACGATGCTCCACTGCCTTGTGGATCAGACCTTTAGGTCAAAGGCTCGGGGTGTGGTCCCCTTAGAAAACCACCTGCTTCGGTTTGGGCACCCGGGCAGTATCACAGCCCACACACAAACAAATGAATGAAATTATGAACTCTATTGACGATATCCCTGGTCATACTAAAAGCAAAACAATTAACATTATTATTATTATTACCTTTATTATTATTATTATTATTATTATTCTTATTATTATTATTATTCTTATTATTCTTATTATTATTATTATTATTATTATTATTATTATTACTTACCATATCGCTAATTCACCCCCTTTTATCCCCAATTTGTGTAACCTTACTCTTCAACTTATGCAGCAGCTCGCTCTTGGTGGAAAATCTGTCCTATCTAAACGATCTCCAGTCACTGTCTGGTTGAAAGTGAATGCTTCCACCGATTATGAATACTGAGGCAGTCTTTCTGAAACCACGTACGCCGTTCAAGCTGGCTTCCTTCAACGTTCGCACACTAATGCAGATCAGACAACAGATAGGGCTGGCTATGTCTTTGGAAGGTCTTAATGTTGACGTTTGTTGTCTATCCGAGACCCGTATTCAAGACTCTAGTGAATTACTACAAATCCGCTCTCCATCTGTCGCCTCGAAAAGCTTGTTCCACGTGCGCTTATCCGGGGACCCTGTGGCATCTTCGTCTGGTCTTGCTGGCGTTGGTGTCGCACTAAGCGCTAGAGCTGAGGCAGCACTAATCGATTGGATCCCCATTAACAGTCGGTTATGTGCTGTTAGATTAGAAAGTTCCATCAAAGTGAGAAGAAATGGGCGTGAGAAACGGTGTCTTTTCGTCATCTCCGCCTATGCCCCGACAGATTGCAGCCCGGATGCAATCAAGGATGAGTTTTACCATCAGTTAACAGTTCTTCTCCAGAAAGCGCGTTCGACAGATATTGTAGTACTAGCCGGAGACTTGAATGCACAGGTCGGGCGTCTAGGCACAGAAGAGAGTCGTCTAGGTGGCCGATGGGGACTTGTTGGTCGCCGGACAGATAACGGGGACCGTTTGCTGCAACTGTGCACAGACCACAACCTGTTTCTGGCCAGCACTAACTTCCGGCACAGTCATCGCCGGTGTGCCACCTGGCGTCCTCCCTCTGCATCCCAAGCCTGGACTCAGATTGATCACATCGCGATCAGCTACCGCTGGCGTGGTTGTGTACAAGACTGCCGCTCCTTTTGGAGTACCTATCTGGAGTCTGATCATGCCCTGGTCTGCGCCAATCTCACCTTACTTTTCAGTGGCCGAAGGATTGACCACCACCAACGGATTGATATTAGTAAACTGGCTGCAACTTCTGTTGCAAGTAAGTATCGAGCTGAGCTAGCCTCTAGGCTAGCTACCACCCCACCGAAAAGTATAGACGAGCATTGGTTGCATCTTCACGACGCCATGAAAATGGCGAGTAAAGCCGCTTGCGGCTTCGCGAAACGTCCCGCTTACAAGCACTGGGTTTCTTCTGGCTCCTTACAACTGATGGAAGCCCGTCGGTCTACTCCGGGTGACCGTGAGTTTGACCACAAACGAAGGCTGTTACGTAATGAAATCGGGCAAAGCTTGTGTAAGGACCGGGAAGCCTGGTGGTCGGAGCGTGCTAATGAGATGGAAGCAGCAGCTGCATCTGGTAACTGCCGGAAGCTCTTCCAACTCATCTGAGCCACTGGCAGCAAGAAGTCTGGTGTGAGTGAAACAATCTACGAGGATGACGGGATGCCAATCACTAACATCTCCCGACGTCTTGGACGATGGGCGGAATTTTTTGAAGGGCAGTTCAACTGGCCTGCTGCTCCGGCAACATCAACCAGCTTGTCCTGCTCCCCATGGCCGGTGACGACTGATCCACCAAACGAGGCGGAAGTCCGCAAGGAACTCCAACTCTTGAAACGTTATAAATCACCTGGCCCAGATGACTTACCTCCGGCTCTTTTTAAAGATGGTGGTGACTTTCTGGCTAAGGAACTGACTGCGTTGTTTGGAAAGGTTTGGGAGCAAGAAAGTGTTCCAACATCATGGAATGAGTCAATAGTCGTCCCTATCTTTAAAAAGGGTTCACGTTGTTCCTGTAGCAACTATCGGGGGATAAGTCTACTTTCGATCGCGTCCAAACTATTGGCTTCTATCATTCTACGTAGGTTGTTTAAAACCCGAGAACGATTGACTCGCGAGGAGCAGGCTGGTTTTCGTTCTGGTCGAGGATGCATTGATCACATCTTCACCCTCCGCCAAATGTTAGAACACCGTCATACTTATCGCAGGCCAACAATCGTAGTGTTTCTTGATATCAGGGCGGCCTTCGATTCGTTGGACAGGACTGTTCTCTGGGATTGTCTATTGAAGAAGGGTGTGCCTGAGAAGTTCATTAACATCTTAAAAGCCCTGTATACGAACACCTCAGGCAGAGTGAGGGCATACAACCACTTTCTCCCTTGTTCCATTCGAGCAGTGGGGTTAGGCAGGGTTGCCCGATCTCCCCATTCCTCTTCAACTTTGCCATCGACGACATCTTGGAAACAGCTCTGATGGATGTAAGTAATGGCGGTGTGGATATGTTGCCTGGAGAACGACTTCTCGACCTTGAGTATGCGGATGATATTGTCTTACTGTGCGATAATGCCCAAGGCATGCAATCAGCACTTAATCAGTTGGCAATCAGTGTCCGCAGGTACGGCATGTGCTTTGCACCCTCCAAGTGCAAAGTACTTCTACAAGACTGGCAGGATTCTCATCCTGTACTCACCCTGGATGGTGAGGAGATCGAAGTAGTTGAGAAGTTCGTGTATCTAGGTAGCTATATAAGTGCTGGTGGTGGCGTGAGTGATGAGATTGATGCACGTATAAGGAAAGCCAGATCGGCTTATGCCAATGTGGGCCATCTTTGGCGCCTTCGTGATGTTAGTCTGGCTGTAAAAGGTCGGATCTACAACGCGTCGGTGAGAGCAGTTTTGCTCTATGTTTGTGAAACCTGGCCTCTCCGAGTTGAGGATGTTAGACGTCTCTCTGTGTTCGATCATCGTTGTCTCCGAAGGATTGCTGACATCCAGTGGCAACACCATGTTAGTAATGCAGAGGTTCGGCATCGTGTGTTCGGGCGCAGAGACGATAATTCAATTGGTGTCATCATCTTGAAACACCGACTTCGGTGGCTCGGACATGTTTTACGAATGTCGTCCCAGAGACTTCCGCGTCGTGCATTATTTGCCGACCCTGGGACTGGTTGGAGAAAGCGGAGAGGAGGTCAGTGTATGACATGGTGTCGTGGCATGAAAGAGAGCTGCAAAGGGCTAGCTTCCGTTGGTCCTTCACGACTCCCAGGTTGGGGTCCGAGAGATAGTGCAACATAGTGGCTAGAGACGTTATCGGATATGGCTCAGAATAGAAGCCAGTGGCGATCCTGCTGCAACCTTCTTTTACTTTCTACATAAAGAATGGTTCTAACTTTCCTAACTGAAAGAATCTTCTGGTTGTACATTTCAGCCCGCCTTATCTTTTCATCCTTTATCTACCTACTTTCATTATTTTGTGTGGCGCATATGTACCTGGTGCCCTTTTGTACCAATATATATGTGTTTAAATAAATAAATAAATAAAAACTCAGATTATTATTATTATGACCTTTGTGTTTGTCGCTCTTCTTCATATCTGTTAATTGAACTATTATCTGACCCATAAATTATTTTCTTCCTTACCCCTTGATTAGTACGTCACCTCATTTGTTATTTATTGTCGAATCCATTTATAATGCAATCTTTTCTAGCCTCCTATAGACATATATTTTCCATATTACTATATATACGAATGTACAGCTTAAGTAAATGATTTCGTCGAAAAGAAAAAATTTTCTTCGCTGAATTCTCTTTTTCTTATTCAATGACATTATAAGTTATTTTAGTTATCTAAAGAGCTGCAAAGAATAATCTTTTATGATTCTGGTCGAATTCGTAAATTATCTTGCCCTCATACTGAAACCTATCTTCTTTCGATGTCTTTGTGCATCGGTTCCTTGCTGTTGTCACTATTTAGCTTGTACTATTCCCGGTAATATCTTTTAAGGGATAGCTTTTGAAGAGTATGATTTCATATGACTGTAAGTTGCTTGTTACTTTTTTGGTCGATTTATGAAACAAACTGGTTCGTAGCACTTAAAATTGCACGCAGTATTATATCTAGATGAGCGCCAAAATCCTTTAGAGAGTAAGCTTTCAAGTTAGCCTGCTTTAGATTTTCTCTTTGAAATTCCGCTCAGTGTCCTCAATAGAATGGTTGAGCCTAGTTTCTAATGTCATTTACTACACAAGTGCAAACTTTCACATTGCTAAAGACCTCAAGAATTGTAATTGGCCTCTTGATCTTCAATATTTATTTATGCAGACTGAAGACTATATATTCAAATGGGTATTTGAAAGTTGAACATTTAACCTTCGACGAAATCAAATGTAGGGTTACACAGCTCGATTGCTTCGACGTTGGTTTATGCTGTGTAGTTCATGGAATCTGTTAATTTTAAGCCGTTATATGGAACCGAGGCGCGAACTAAAGCTGTAGAATGCATTTTAGAGCCGCTATTTACAAAAGTGAAGTGTTTTGCAAGGAGAGGTCACATGAAAGGATCTTACCGCCTCAAGTCTAAACCACAGGATGACATTTTATCTAGTGTCAAGGAGGTAATATTTCATTCCCCTTGTACATTACAATCTACAGGTTATTCAATTGCTTAGCAATGATTTCAGTGTTGTTCAGAATGTTCCCTCATTATCGTCAGATTTTTTAACTGCTAAGACAGATGTTCTTGATACTGGGCAGTATTTTTGCTCCTCTGTTTCTAGTTTTTTTTCTGACCCTGCAAATGAATCCTATCAAAGTGGTGTTTGTCGAGCTATCAATGCCTTCCTTGCTGCTTTGAGTAGACTACTTATACTAGCTGATATAGCAGATTCACTGGTTCTTAACCAACATTTCGAGGCCGTCCTCAGTGGTATTACAGAATTCCAGTCAGTTTCGTCACAAACGGTACGTCGTATGTGATATTTGGTTGCTTTAATTATTCCGTCCATCGGATTTAAAACCACGTCATCTTAAGGGTCATGTTCACGTACCATTTGTCGTTTGATGTTCCCTTCGTAATATATCTGTACTCCAACTGTATACTAGAAATTCTCAAAGGTTTCTTCATGAAACTGTTTTGGCTTCGTTAGCCCTTAGATTTTAGAACAAGGGACCTGGTGTTTTAGTGTAAAGATTTAATTACAATAATTGAGAGTAGAGAGAAAAATCTGTAAACATCGACATCGAGCTTCTAAGGTAATCACATCAAGAGTTTTGGGAAATTAGGCAGCTCCCTAGCCTTTTTCTTGCTCTTTTGGCATCACAAATTTGAGATCAAACGGTCACAAAGCATTTCCGTTTACGGACTGGTACGAAGCTTCTTATTCTCGTTGTCAGAGGGGTTAGTGTTAAGGATCATTGCATGCTTCTTGTGCGTTTCACCCCTTGTATGGGTTCACGAGTTCATCTCAACCGGTTGTAAATGATACGAATATGACCGTTTTTGAGATCTAGTCAAAGTTGGGATTATAGACTTCGTCAACCTGATTAAAGTATTAGTATTGATCTAACGCACCCGGGTATGTGACTGGAAATCGGAAGGTACAAATGATTGAGATTAGTTACATACAACCTTTGTGTAACTGGCTTTTTTATATCTAACTCCATACTTCACAGTCCTTACTGTTGGTCCCGAAGAATAGTAGAGGATTGGAGGAAATGCCGTTTTTACAGTTGAGGTTTTATAACACTTATTCTCTGAGAACCAGCGCTGCTAGAAACGTTTGATTGCCGAGATCATCCCTTTTTTACTTTAACATTACCTACTACCGTCAAATCACATATATATATATATATAATTGTCTTTCTTAGGAACTGAATCGCTTGTGGAATACCTTTTACCCCCATGTATTACAACTTATCAGCTTGTCAAAGAAACGTGCATCTGATCTAATTGATCTTGAAGACCGTAGGAAAATTGAGTCTGCCAGCTACGTGCTTAGAAATAATACGCCTTTATTACATACATCTTGTAAGGTAAGTTCAATTTATGATAGAAATAGTGTATTTGTAAAGTCTGAATAAACATAAAAATAAGCGCCTGGTGTTTCTCAACATTATGGAAATCGCCTTTTAACAGGACAGAGAATGTTAAAAGTTTTTTGCTCATTTTTATATTGAAAATATGTCATTCCTATTATTAAAAAACCATCAAACGCTTAATTTATTTGAAATTCATATTAAATTTTGGTATGATTACTCACTAGGTCAGGTTTATTAGTTATACAGGTAAGGGAATTCACTTATTTATATAACTGCATAAGTATACACAAAGGTTAGATTTAGTAGTCCAGTAAGATTTTAAGAGACAATAATTTGGTCGAGAACTGCTAGCGGCCCACTGTGCTATCAAACATTTCTGGCACTCAGTAGAAGGTCGCAACTTCATCTTATTCACCGACCATAAGCCTTTAAAGTATGCTCTGTATATCAAGTCTGGCCGCTACTCACCACGACAGTGCAGACACTTGGACTATATCTCTCAGTTCACAACAGACCTTCGTCACGTTAAAGGCTAATCGAACTGTGTTGCCGATGCTCTGTCACGTATCCAAGTGAATGCAGTTACTTTGCCGGTTCTTGATCTCCCTGCTATGGCCGTCGCCCAAGCAAATGATCCTTCAAGCTGATGCAAATGGATCTACCCTCCATGTCCCGCTAGTTTCTGAACTTCAACATCATACCTTTTGTTTATCGAGCTCATTCCCTCTTTTCAAATGACATTCTGTATGTCTAGTTTTTCTTACCATGATTGATATTATGATTTAGGCTCTTTCGGTAACCATAAGTTTCAAAGACCTCTGTAGTTAATTTGTTAGAATCTGCCGCCATTCTTTCAGGTTGATTATCAGCCAGTCAGTCAGCTACAACGTAGGACCAGGCACATTTATGCATCGGTCCAAGTTGCCATACCTCGTTAGCACAACAAGATCAACACCGAATTTAGTGGTTGTAATATATAAAAGAAAGGTTGTATATAAGGATATAGTATAGGAAGGAAGAACGTTATGAAGCAATATTAATCTTAAGGTTTAAGGGAAGATAAAGAGTGTGTACACCTACACCATTGTGATCGATTCTGAGCCATGTTACCTAGAGTCTCCAACCATTGGTTACGATAGTCGTGCATACCCCAACCAGGTAGTTTGCATCTACCAACATGGCTCAGACTAGAAGTTAGTCACTTCAAGCACTGATGCCACGTTTTGGTTTGGCCGCCCCTAACTCTCTTCCAACCATCCTCTACACTAGTCAACATAGCGCGTCGTGGTAATCGGTGTTCAGGCATACGTAACACATGGCCCAACCATTTCAGTAGATGAAGATTCATCACCTCATCATTTGATTTACCATCGTTCCCTAATACCCTATGTCTAACCTCACTATTACTTACCCGGTGTTCGCAGCAGATGCGAGAAATATTTCTAAGGCATCTGTGGTCAAATACTAGTAACTTGCGAGTATCTCCTACTCTTAATGGCCATGTTTCACAACCGTAAAGCAGAACAGAGCGAACTGCTGTGCAGTATACTCGTCCCTTAATTGATAGACGGATATCTCGTCTTTGCCATGGGTGACGTAAGTTGGCAAAAGCCAAACGAGCTTTTCGAAACCGTGCTGAGGTTTCGTCATACACCAACCCATTAGGGCTGATCAAACTTCCAAGATAAGTGAAGTTGTCGACGCGTTCGACTACTTCACTCCCTATCCTTAGTTCAGGTGTTGACACAGGCCAGTCCTGGAGTAACAATTTACATTTGGATGGGGAGAAACGCATCCTAAACATCCTGGCATTATTACTCAGTTCTAACAGAAGACTCTGCATTTTGTCGGCGTCTTCACCAAACAGGACTATGTCTCCTGCGTATTCTAAATCGATTAGTTGACCCCCTTTATTTATTTGTTATTTATTTAAACACAAATATTGGTACAAGGAAGCACCAGATAAATATGCGCCTCACAAATCTCATTTGATTTGTGTGACTGCTGTGATACTGCCCAGGTGACCAAACTGAAGCAGGTGGTTTTCTTAGGCCACACCCCGAGCCTTTGACCTAAAGGTCAAAGGCCCTGGTACGGCCGAGAGTGGGGAGAGTCTACTTTCCCTCTCGAAATGCTCTCACATGGCCAGCGAATATATAGCCTCTGCCAGGGAAGTCCTACTCACTGCCTTCTCGTGGCGGGGGTGTTGTTTACGAAAGTGAGAGGACGAAAAGCGAATGTCCGGCGCTATAACCGGATTGGTGGACACGGAGGGTCCACCTAGGGGAGTTGGAAAACCCTGATTCCAAACCAATGGTGCACATGGGCTCCAGTATCCTGATGGAACGAATGGCGGAAGAACCTGCTGTTGGTCAACGGCAACCATGGGACTGCATCTCCTCACGATGCTCCACTGCCTTGTGGATCAGACCTTTAGGTCAAAGGCTCGGGGTGTGGTCCCCTTAGAAAACCACCTGCTTCGGTTTGGGCACCCGGGCAGTATCACAGCCCACACACAAACAAATGAATGAAATTATGAACTCTATTGACGATATCCCTGGTCATACTAAAAGCAAGACAATTAACATTATTATTATTATTACCTTTATTATTATTATTATTCTTATTATTCTTATTATTATTATTATTATTATTATTATTATTATTATTATTATTATTATTACTTACCATATCGCTAATTCACCCCCTTTTATCCCCAATTTGTGTAACCTTACTCTTCAACTTATGCAGCAGCTCGCTCTTGGTGGAAAATCTGTCCTATCTAAACGATCTCCAGTCACTGTCTGGTTGAAAGTGAATGCTTCCACCGATTATGAATACTGAGGCAGTCTTTCTGAAACCACGTACGCCGTTCAAGCTGGCTTCCTTCAACGTTCGCACACTAATGCAGATCAGACAACAGATAGGGCTGGCTATGTCTTTGGAAGGTCTTAATGTTGACGTTTGTTGTCTATCCGAGACCCGTATTCAAGACTCTAGTGAATTACTACAAATCCGCTCTCCATCTGTCGCCTCGAAAAGCTTGTTCCACGTGCGCTTATCCGGGGACCCTGTGGCATCTTCGTCTGGTCTTGCTGGCGTTGGTGTCGCACTAAGCGCTAGAGCTGAGGCAGCACTAATCGATTGGATCCCCATTAACAGTCGGTTATGTGCTGTTAGATTAGAAAGTTCCATCAAAGTGAGAAGAAATCGGCGTGAGAAACGGTGTCTTTTCGTCATCTCCGCCTATGCCCCGACAGATTGCAGCCCGGATGCAATCAAGGATGAGTTTTACCATCAGTTAACAGTTCTTCTCCAGAAAGCGCGTTCGACAGATATTGTAGTACTAGCCGGAGACTTGAATGCACAGGTCGGGCGTCTAGGCACAGAAGAGAGTCGTCTAGGTGGCCGATGGGGACTTGTTGGTCGCCGGACAGATAACGGGGACCGTTTGCTGCAACTGTGCACAGACCACAACCTGTTTCTGGCCAGCACTAACTTCCGGCACAGTCATCGCCGGTGTGCCACCTGGCGTCCTCCCTCTGCATCCCAAGCCTGGACTCAGATTGATCACATCGCGATCAGCTACCGCTGGCGTGGTTGTGTACAAGACTGCCGCTCCTTTTGGAGTACCTATCTGGAGTCTGATCATGCCCTGGTCTGCGCCAATCTCACCTTACTTTTCAGTGGCCGAAGGATTGACCACCACCAACGGATTGATATTAGTAAACTGGCTGCAACTTCTGTTGCAAGTAAGTATCGAGCTGAGCTAGCCTCTAGGCTAGCTACCACCCCACCGAAAAGTATAGACGAGCATTGGTTGCATCTTCACGACGCCATGAAAATGGCGAGTAAAGCCGCTTGCGGCTTCGCGAAACGTCCCGCTTACAAGCACTGGGTTTCTTCTGGCTCCTTACAACTGATGGAAGCCCGTCGGTCTACTCCGGGTGACCGTGAGTTTGACCACAAACGAAGGCTGTTACGTAATGAAATCGGGCAAAGCTTGTGTAAGGACCGGGAAGCCTGGTGGTCGGAGCGTGCTAATGAGATGGAAGCAGCAGCTGCATCTGGTAACTGCCGGAAGCTCTTCCAACTCATCTGAGCCACTGGCAGCAAGAAGTCTGGTGTGAGTGAAACAATCTACGAGGATGACGGGATGCCAATCACTAACATCTCCCGACGTCTTGGACGATGGGCGGAATTTTTTGAAGGGCAGTTCAACTGGCCTGCTGCTCCGGCAACATCAACCAGCTTGTCCTGCTCCCCATGGCCGGTGACGACTGATCCACCAAACGAGGCGGAAGTCCGCAAGGAACTCCAACTCTTGAAACGTTATAAATCACCTGGCCCAGATGACTTACCTCCGGCTCTTTTTAAAGATGGTGGTGACTTTCTGGCTAAGGAACTGACTGCGTTGTTTGGAAAGGTTTGGGAGCAAGAAAGTGTTCCAACATCATGGAATGAGTCAATAGTCGTCCCTATCTTTAAAAAGGGTTCACGTTGTTCCTGTAGCAACTATCGGGGGATAAGTCTACTTTCGATCGCGTCCAAACTATTGGCTTCTATCATTCTACGTAGGTTGTTTAAAACCCGAGAACGATTGACTCGCGAGGAGCAGGCTGGTTTTCGTTCTGGTCGAGGATGCATTGATCACATCTTCACCCTCCGCCAAATGTTAGAACACCGTCATACTTATCGCAGGCCAACAATCGTAGTGTTTCTTGATATCAGGGCGGCCTTCGATTCGTTGGACAGGACTGTTCTCTGGGATTGTCTATTGAAGAAGGGTGTGCCTGAGAAGTTCATTAACATCTTAAAAGCCCTGTATACGAACACCTCAGGCAGAGTGAGGGCATACAACCACTTTCTCCCTTGTTCCATTCGAGCAGTGGGGTTAGGCAGGGTTGCCCGATCTCCCCATTCCTCTTCAACTTTGCCATCGACGACATCTTGGAAACAGCTCTGATGGATGTAAGTAATGGCGGTGTGGATAT